TTAGAATTAAATATTTAATAATAAATTGATTTAATAATTTATTATTTCATAAATAAAAAATAAATAAAAAACCTGATTTTTTAATTGGTGTAAAGAATATACATTATTTATAAATTTTTCCCAAGTATTTAGTCCAAAGGCCTGCCTCAAGGCCCTTAGTCATATTAATAGAAGGGTCCAACCCAGAGCTGCAGATCCAGATTATTTAGTTGCTATACAACTTTAATCAGGCCCAGTTCAGATCCGCTTTAAACATGCTATTTTTGGATTGAATACCGCATCAAACATGTCAAATAAAAAGACTCGATGAGTATCTTCAACGTATCATTTATTTTTAAATAGCATATTTTACAATTTAAAGAGTATCTATAAATTTTTTAAAATATCCCAATAGGCTTTTTTATCTTTATCACTTAATTTTACTACCCTAAAAAAATATTTATTATTTTTCATTATCTTTTATTTTCACTAATTTCCCTACAAATTATTTTACATTATTTTCCTCCATTGGAAATTGAAATGCTTTGAATGCATTTAATTATAGAAAGTGAGTTTGTTTCTTCAAATTTGGAAAGTTAACCTCAATTTTCTATTTTAAAATGTTAATTTGAAAAGTCATAATTCTAAGTATTACTATTTAAAATAGAGAATATCTTATATTTAAAAAGGCTCTTGAAAATGTTGCTACTAAATTAAAATCATGCATAATTTTTGATCAAATATTACCAACCAAAGAATTCGATTGATTATCGACAATATTTATCGGTGATCTCGAAAGGGTAATGACTCGTTTTATTTGTTGATCACCAATGACAATGTCAACGCTTTAGTTGTTGATCACTATAGAAAGTTATTATTTTTTAATTTTTTTAATAAGTTACTATAAAAAATCAATGAGTTGGTGATTTCAGATGAAGTTACTAACACTAATATCATTGGCTATCATCGAACACATCTTTGTCAGCAATTATCAATGACATGTTATTGATGACGTCATCAACAATCATCGATGGATCTTCGATAGGTGATAATGGTGTGAAGAAAAGTGAGGTGGATTGATATAATGCCAAAATGGATTTTAGATGTATACTATAGAAGTGTGGTTGAGTGTTACTTCGATCGGCGGCACAGAGGATAGAGATGTAGTGAAGTATAATGTGGTAGATGGTCGCCCAAAGCGGTTGATGTGAGATTGGTCGCCACTAAATTGATAGTGGTAGAATTACGTTTCCTTTTCTTTTTTCAGTAGTAAAGAATGATCTTTTATTTTCTTTTGTTGTTTGGACTGTACAATTATGAATAGATAAGATTGTTTCTCAATAAATCATTCGACATAAACTTCGAATTAGTATCAGAGTTTTGGTTGTCAAAAATTTAGGACCTCTAAAATTGGGATTTCAAATCCTAAATTTAATTTTGGCCAATATCTTTAAATCTAGCTAGATTGAATCTTCTATCTTCAACGGTCCTATATCGTGGGGACCCTCTAGCCTTTACCATCTATCTCACTCAGATGACCCCTTACTCTCTATCTCGATTTGACAACCCTCTACTCCCTCGAAACTAGAGTTTCAAATTGAACCTAAATTACAAACCTTAAATTTCAATTTCATCAAGAAACCTAACTTTTGCAGAACTCCAGGCTCTTGCGGACTTTTATTATTATCGCAACAGTCTTGAATCTTTCCACATTTCTCTCAATTTTTTATTTTTTTATTTTTTAAGAGACTTGAATTTGTCCTGGAAATTCTCGAATGTGGTGTGTTGCACTATTGGAATTGGCATAACCTCGAAATGTTTAAAACATTAAATCGACAGCAAAATAATCTATCAATCACATAAGATTTAAACCTGTCCCACATGTCTATACAATGTATTTCATTTTGCATTTCCACCAAAAAAATTTAATATAAATTTAGAATCATACATAAATTTACCCCATTTTAAGCTGTAAAAGATTAGTTAGTGCAAAAGCCTCATTGTTCACTGAGCTCTTCGTCTATGGTGGCTCAATTGGATTGGTTACGTGTGCCGTGTACTATG